CTTACCACTGACTTTTAGAGAGAGTGGAAAGGGGGAGGGGGAGGAAGAAAAACATGAATGTGAGAGAAGCTGGGCAATTGGTTGCCTTCCACACGCACCCTGATCGGCCATCGCTCTAACCATTGGTCTGGTAATGTTTTAGGCCCTGTGTCTGGCCCTGAGTCCAGCCCTTGATGTGGATCAGCTCTTGGACCCACGGCTGGCTGCACAGTGAGGGGGTCTTAAGTCCAAGGCCAGTCTCCTGGTCGGTAGCCCTGGCTGGCTGACTGCAGAGGGAGAAGCCATTTATTTCCTGCCCACTTCAGATTTATGCCAGGGCGGAGGGGTTCCAGACTCACCCTACCCCCAAGCTCTGTGCCTTCAGCAGGCAGCAAACAGGCAGGAGGCTGGGGCGTCCCCTGGTGGCCACAGCGGGACATAGATGCTAGAGCTCTTTTTATTTTTTTTCAAAAAAATTTTAAAAACATATTTTATTGATTTTCTACAGAAAGGAAGAGAGAGGGATAGAGAGTTAGAAATATAGATGAAAGAGAAACAACGATCAGCTGCCTCCTGTACACCCCCTACAGGGGATGTGCCCACAACCCAGTAGGTGCCCTTGACTGGAATTGAACCTGGAACCCTTCCGTCTGCAGGCTGATGCTCTACCCACTGAGCCAAAGCAGTTTTGGTTTTGGAAGAGGCTAGCACTCTTATTCCTCTCCTCAGCCTCACCTCCTCTTTTGGGGTGGGGCTCAAGTAAAGATCCTGATCAGGTACAAGCCCCAGGTTGGTGGGGGGAAATGAGCATAACTAGCTGAGGGGGGGTCAGTTTTCGCGGCTCCTTCTCCTCTCCCTACACCAGCCTCTTCAGAAATTTTTCGAAACAAAATTAAAAAAATTTAAAAATATATATTTTTTATTGATTTCAGAGAAGGAGAGAGAAAAAGAAACATCAGTGATGAAAGAGAATCATTGATCAGTGCCTCCTGCATAACTCCAACTAGGGATAGAGCGTGTCAGGGGATGGAGCCCTGACTGGGAATCCAACCATGACCTCCTGGTTCAAAAGTCAAGGCTCGACCACTGAGCCACACCGGGCCGAAGTTTAACATTTTAAAGGTAATACATGTGCATGATTTAAAAAATACAAACATTACACAAAGATATACAGAGAAACATGGGACTGCCTACCCCACTAACCCCCAACCCCAACCCCTTGGTTCTGCCCCCCCCCCCCCCCGGCCCCCGGTCCCCGCCCGCTCCCCACAGAGGCCACAGCTGTGACCAGTGCTTCCTTTGGAAATATTTGGATACAAGTCTCCCCAGAATTATTGCCCTCCTGCTTTTTATATTGTGAGTCTCCCAGATCTGCTTTGGCCTTTTAAAGAGTTATATAGTATCCTATTGTGTGAATACTATATAACAGTAAAGTCCCCAATTTGCTGACATTGAGGTTGTTCCCAATTTAAAAAAATTTTTTTAAATTGATTTTTAGAGAGAGGGAGAAGGAGAGGGAGAGAGAGAAACATTGATTTCTGCATGCAGCCCGGGCATGCGCTCTCACCAGGAATAGAACTGGCAACCTTTTGGTGCACGGGTCGATGCCCACCCACTGAGCCACGCCGGCCAGGGCTATTTTCAATTTTGTTTTTGCAATGACCAGAAATGTCGTGATAATGTCCTCTTCCTCCCTCTCCTTTTTATTTTTTTTTATTTTTATTTTTTTTTAAAATATATTTTATTGATTTTTGTACAGAGAGGAAGGGAGAGAAATAGAGAGTTAGAAACATCGATGAGAGAGAAACATTGATCAGCTGCCTCTTGCACACCCCCTACTGGGGATATGCCCGCAACCAAGGTACATGCCCTTGACCGGAATCGAACCCGGGACCTTTCAGTCCCCAAGCCGACGCTCTATCCATTGAGCCAAACCAGCCTCGGTCTCCCTCTCCTTTTTAAAAGTACATTTTAAATTTTGGAATAATTTTAGATTTACAGAAAATTTGCAGAGATAATACAGAGTCCTTGAATAGCCCTCACCAAGCTCCATCCATTGTTAGCATCTTATATTCCACTAGAGGCCTGGTGCACAAAATTCGTGCACAGGGGGGTGGGGTGGGGTGGGGTGGGATCCCTCAGCCTGGCCTGCACCCGCTCTCAGTCCGGAACCCCTTGGGGGATGTCCCACTGCAGGTTTAGACCCGATCCCACATTGGTCCTAAACTGGCAGTCAGACATCCCTTTTGAAATCCAGGACTGCTGCTCCTAGCTGCTTGCCTACCTGCCTGATCACCCCTAACCACTCTGCCTGCCTGCCTAGTTGCCTCTAAGTACTCTGTCTGCCTGCCTGATCACCCCTAACCGCCTCTGCCTCAGCCCTCACTGCTGCGGCTTCCTCCGGAAGGACATCTGGAATGACTTCCGGAAGGTCGTTCAGTTGTCCAGTCTAATTAGCATATTACGCTTTTATTATTATAGACGATTCCTTTGTCAAAACTAGCAATTAACCTTAGCATATACTATTAACTAAACTCCAGGTTTTATTTTATTTACCCACTCAGTGATTCTCTGTTCCAAGATCCAACCCAGGATTCTGCGTTGCATTTAACCCATCCGCTGTTTCTGATGTGTCCGTGTACATCTGCCTGTGGGAAGCAGCCGGAGGGGGAACGGATGGTCGAATGGTATTTGCACTTTAATGGTGAGAGTCTAGGAAACTGCCACGGGCCTTCCACCTGTGCTGCATGGGACTGCTTGTTTCCCCACAGCAGTGCCAGCACAGTGTATTTGCAAACGTTTAACCTATTTTTGTTTTTATCTTTGCCAAACTAGCTGGTGGAAAGTGGTACCACGTTGTGGTTTCCATTTGCATTTCTTTTCCAGGAGTGAGGAGCCGGATGCTTTGTTGGCATGTTTCCGTGAACTGATTGTTCATGTTCTTTGTCATTTTTCTATAGGTTATTATTATTATTATTATTTTGCTTAATTTATAAGAGCCCCTTAATATGGAAATGATTCCTGGGAATGAAAAACAGCAACGATCTGAATGAGTCTTTCTTTTCTTCCAAACGATTTTCTAGCTAGTTGTTGAGACATAGGAAAGTTCAGTTCTTTCTTTTGGGTCTTCTATATATAAAACCATACCACCAGCAGGTAATATTATTAGGTTTAATGGTTTCTGATAATGCCAACCAAAAATTATAAGGAAACATCACACAAACTCAAACTCAGACTCCACAGAATGCCTGGCCAGGGCTTTTTTAAAAATGTAATATTATGAAAGGCAAAGACACACGGAGGAAGGTTCCAGAGTAAGGCAGATGACAGCGATTTGACAAATAGTGTGTGAGACAAAAGGCCCCTTTGTTAGGAAGGACTTTATCAGAACAGCTGGCAAAATCTGCTTGAGGCTTGCAGATTAGATAACAGTGTTTTATTGATGTCCGTTTCCTGATTTTCATAACTGTACCATGACTATGTGAGAGAATGTCTTTTTTTTTAGGAAACACAAACTCAAATATTTATGGGAAAATAGACATCATTTCGGCAAGTTTTTCATAAAGGTAAAAAGGGAGGGCGGGAGGGAGGGCGGGAGGGAGGGCGGGAGGGAGGGAGGGAGGGAGGGAGAGAGGGAGGGAGGAAGGAGGGAAAAGAAGAAGAAGAAGAAGAAGAAGAAGAAGAAGAAGAAGAAGAAGAAGAAGAAGAAGAAGAAGAAGAAGAAGAAGAAGAAGGAGGAGAGGGAGAGGGAGGGGGAGGGGAGGGGGAGGGGAGGGGGAGGGGGAGGGGGAGGCGGAGGGGGAGGGGGAGGCGGAGGGGGAGGGGGAGGGGGAGGAGGAGGAGGAGGAGGCGGAGGAGGAGGAGGAGGACAGCAAAGCTGGTCAAAGTTAACATCTGTGGAATCTGGGTAAAGAGTGCCCAGGGATAATTTGTGTCCACCTTCCAATTTTTCTGTAAGTCTTACATTATGCCAAATATAAAAGTAAAATCCAAAAAAAATAATATGAAATCACACCACATAAAATTGTTATTTTAGCTGAAGCCGGTTTGGCTCAGTGGTAGAGCGTCGGTCTGCAGACTGAAAGGTTCCCAGGTTCGATTCCGGTCAAGGGCATGTACATTGGTTGCGGGCACATCCCCAGTGGGTGTGTGTGTGTCTGTGTGTGTGTGTGTGTGTGTATGTAAGAGGCAGCTGGCCAATGTTTCTCTCTCATCGACGTTTCTAGCTCTCTATCTCTCTCTCCCTTCCTCTTTGTTAAAAATCAATAAAATATATTTAAAAAATTGTTATTTTAATTATTTTTGACCTTATAGAAACAGTGCTTTCACATGATTCAACCTATACACTCTCTTTCTCTTGTCTAATATTTAAATCTTTTGTTTTTCTTGTCTAATTGCATGGTCAGTGCCGCCAAAACAATATCAAACACTCGACAGCGGTTCTCTTTACCTTGTCCTGAATTTGATGGCCTTTTCAGAACTTTTCCCATTCGATCCAGTAGTATGGTGAATTTTATTGACAAACTTCCAAATAGTGAACCATCCCGGCACCTCAGGTATAAGCCACCTCTGATGTGACATATTTTAAAAAGTGTAACTCGGTTTCCTTTGCTAAGACATCATTTGGGAGTTTCGTACCATCACCCTACAGGAAGAGGGACTGCCGTTTTCTTACTGTGCTACCTTTGCCGGTTCTTGGTGTCAGAGAGAAGCCCATTCTCCACACCTGATTCCAATCTCTCATTTCACAAAGTGACCTGTGCAGGCACCCCCCAGCCAGGCCTGGTCTCCAGTCCCCATGTCTGTGGGATGAGGGCACTCCCAGTCCCAGGCCGGCCATACGGCAGTGGGCGTTTATGGACCCGGTCCCTGTCTGCAGAATGAGCTCGGGACGGGCGGGGAGAGAGCACGGCGCCCCCTTTGTTTCCGTTCAGACGGTGGGCCTACAGCTGGGCGCCGATGGGCATGGACTGGGCCCCTCACCCAGCGCGGGCACCGAGGAGCCCGTCCTGCGCGGAAGATCAGCCGCGTGCGCGCCGCCGGCAGCCGCCCGAGGGAGTGGGGCGCGAGCGCGAGCGCGGGCGGGGGCTGGGCCGGTGCCGGGACCCCGAGCGGGGCCGGGGGTGCGGCTGTCTTCGCGGGGGGTCCGTCTCGGCTTCCAGGGCTTTGCTGCCGGGAAGGAGGGGCCGGTGAGAACGTGGACCCCGGCCCCCAGGGACCCCCGGAACTCTCCTCCTTTCCTGGGAACCCCAACCCTCAGGGTCCTCATCCTTCCTCCTCCCCAACCCCCCCACCCCCGGCCACGCCCGGGTCCCCGCCCCCAAGCTTGGCTCCAGATGCCCGGTCCCTCCCTCCATGCTTTTTTTCCCCGGCGCCCCCCCCCCACATCACCTCCCCAGAGCCCTCCCCCCCACCTCCCCAGAGCCCTCCCCCACACCTCCCCAGGGCGCCCCCCATTACCCCCCCAGGGCGCCCATTACCTCCCCAGGGGACCCCCATTACCTCCCCAGGGGGCCCCCCACTACCTCCCCAGAGCCCTCCCCCCCACCTCCCCAGGGGGCCTCCCATTACCTCCCCAGGGCCCTCCCCCCACCTCCCCAGGGCCCTCCCGCCACCTCCCCAGGCCCCCGCCACCTCACCAGGGCGCCCCCCCATTACCTCCCCAGGGCCCTCCCCCCACCTCCCCAGGGCGCCCCACATTACCTCCCCAGGGCGCCCCCCCATTACCTCCCCAGGGGGCCTCCCATTACCCTCCCAGGGCCCTCTCCCCACCTCCTCAGGCCCCCCCATTACCTCCCCAGGGCGCCCCCCATCACCTCCCCAGGGCCCCCCAGATGCGTCCGACCCAAAGAACCCAGGCCTCCAGCGTGCTGGCCCCAACCCGGGGATCCCCTCTCCCAACACGCCCGCCCCGCTCCCCGCCCCGCTCCCCGCCCCAGGTTCCACCTGCAGGCCCCGCCCCCTCCTGTCACTCACACGCGCTCGCGCAGAGCCGCCTCCCGGGCCGCGCAGGCTCCGCCCTCGGCCTCGGCCGCGCGTGCGCGCCGCCGCTCCTCCTCCAGCTGCCGGGTGGTCTCGGCGGCCGCCGCCTCCTGCCGCGCCAGGGCCTCTGCGGGCGCAGCGGGCGGTCAGGGGACCCCGGCTCCCGGGACCCCAACTGCCTGTGGTCTGCGTGCTTTGCTCTGTGTGAATGACGCTTGTGTGCTGTGTCCATGGCCTTTACGTGCCACTGGACGTTCTGGGTTGGCGCTGCTTTTGGAAGTCGTTTAACATATTTGGTTGCATGTTGCGTTTTTGTGACCTGTGGCATGTCAGCTGCGTTTCTTCCACACGTGTTCGCCTTCGTTTGCATGTTGTTTGCGTGACGTGTCCACCTGTGCTTGTTTGCAACTAGAAAACTAGGCTCCTCCCACCTCTAGTCCCTCCCAGCACCCCTTCGCCCCAACAACACACCTGCCAGCGCCCCGTTCTCGGCGCCCATCTGAGTGCCCTGGGCCTTGGCCTCCTCCACCTCCGTCTTCAGTGTCTTCAGCTGGGTCTGAAGCCGGCTCTGCAGAGTGGAGGGGGCGTGAGGGGGGGATCCTGGGAGGGCAGAGGGAGTGAATTGGCCCTGCTCTTCCTAGGGGAGACTGAGATGACTCCGATGTTCCCTGAGCTTTGTTGGAATGACCTTTGGGGTCCTGTGGTTGTAAAGCACAGAAACGGCCGCTGACGTCTGGGATACCGCGAGGTGACAGCTGCCTGCCTGGAGGGCGGTCTCCTCTTAGGTCCACCGCCTCCCAAGCCCTGGGGATGGGGAAAGGGTTTGGCTCTGCAGTCAGACTGTGGCTCCCATCCCAGCTGCCTCTAGACTTGCCAACGGGGGGTTAAAACCAACACCAGACCTTGTGGTTGTTGGCAGCGATGGCATTTGTGGGTGGTTTGTCACCCCTCGGAGACACTCTGCAAAGCAACTAGCCTGGCCTTCCAGCATCTTCCATCGGGAGGCAACGTCAGAATCTGAACCCAGGCCGGGCTGCTCTTCGCTTTGGCTGTCCCACACCCTTCCCTTAGGGAGGCAGGCAGGGGGCAAGGAGTCTGTTGTGAATTTTAAAATTCACACACAGCCCTACCCGTGCTGGGCCCGGCACAAAGAGGTACACAGTCGTTACTACCTGTGAATCGCTGGGACGGGAGGATGGGCGTGGTTCCTGTGAGGCTGAGGGGTGGGAAAGGTTAAGAAAGTGTGAAGGAGGCGGCCAGAGAACAAGGGAGGAGGACCTGGCTGGCACCTCCTCCAAGAAGCTAACTTTAGCCTTGTAATTACAGGTGACATGAATGTCCTTTTCCCAAAATAGGGCCGGGACACTGGCTCGGAGGGAGGGGGCTGTGGAGTGGGCACTTGGGGGAAAGGATGAAACAGGTCCTCCCCAGGTGGGCTCAGGGCTCGGGGGCTTCTCCACCCACCGCTGTTTCTCTGGCAAATGGCAGAGGACAGCATGGCCTTCTGGGTCCGACGGTGTCGTACAGGATGACTGACATGGTAGCAGCTTGGGTTATGGTGAGGTTCTCATCCTCAGGGAGGAATTGGGGAAATGCCTTGGCCGGGGTGGCTCAGCGGGGTGGCCGTCCCCCTGTGCACCGAAGGGTGGCTGGTTTGATTTCTGGTCAGGCTGGGGGCTCCATCTCCGATAGGGGGCATGCAGGAGACAGCTCGTGATGGGCTCTCACACAATGTTTCTCTCTCCCTTCCTCTCTCTTTAAAAATCAGTAAAAAAATCTTAAAAAAAAAAAAAAAAAGAATTGGGGAAACTGCCCTAGGCAGTTTGGTTTAGTGGATAGAGGACCGGCCTGCAGACCAAAGGGTCCCGGGTTCGATTCTGGTCAAGGGTTGCAGGCTCCTCCCCGGCCTGGGGCCCTGGTTGGGGCTCTTGCAGGAGGCAATCAATCCATGTGTTTCTCTCACGTGGGTGTTTCTCTCTGTCTTCCCCTCTCTCTGCCGCTCTCCCTGAAAACCAATGGGAAAAGATCCTTGGGTGAGGGAATTGGGGAAACCAAGGCACAAGGGGGCCTTCTTGTGGGTGTATGCAGACCCCCCCACCTCATTCTGGATGCCCCAACCCCCAACACCGCCCGCCTACCTGGCGGCCCTCGCAGGCCCTGAGAGCCTCCTCCAGCTCCCGATGGACCCCCTTGGCCTGCTCCAGCTGCCTGGTCAGAGCGTCCTCACGTAGGGCAGCCTCTGCCAGCCGTCGCTGCAGCTCCTGGACCTCCAGCGTAGGGTCCCCCCCGGGGGGCACCGTGGCGTTGACTCCCAGCTCCAGCTCTGGGCAGCGAGAGCCCCTGGAGGCGGCGGCCAGATTCCAGGCCAGCAGGGCTGCCCCGGCTGCAGCCGCAGCCAGGAACACAGCAGCCCCGCACAGGGCGAGCACTCGCCAAGCGTATCCCGGCTCCGGCCCGGGCTCGGCCATGCTGCTGTCCACAGCTCAGGCCTGGAGACGGCCACGGGCATTTAATTGGCACCTTAGGGCGCCAGGGACACCCACGAGTCCGCCCAGCCAGGGCGTGTTTCCCCAATCCTTTGGGAGGGGTTGGGTCCTCCCCAGGAGCCAGGCCAGGCCTGGGGTCCTGCACTCCAGCCCTGCCTCTGCCTCTGCGCGCTCTTCTCCGAGCTTCAGTTTGCCCCTCGGTGAAGTGGGGATGGCAGGAGGTCCTCAGGGCTCAGTGACCATCACTTGGGCACATCGAGGCACAGGGGTCCTTGGCAATGTGCCAGGGGCATATTGTCCCCATTCTGCTCAAGGAGAAACTGGGGCTGTAAGACTAAAGACTATTCGACTGACTGGGTCAGGCTGTCATACATTCTTTGACAAACTCTGAGGGCCCGAGGGAAGATAGATGCGAGGGTGGACAGGCCACATCGCCCTGATTATTCTCCACTGGGTCGCCAGGGGGCGATCTTACAACGTGAATCAGATCCAGGCCAGTTCACAAATCTCAGTATCAAATCTCCTCCTCCTCCACTGCCTGCCTTCAGCTTCTCCTGGCCTTCATTTTTATTTTTATTTTAAAAATATATTTTATTGCCTTTTTTACAGAGAAGAAGGGAGAGGGATATAGAGCTAGAAACATCAATGAGAGAGAAACACCGACCAGCTGCCTCCTGCACTCCCCCTACCGGGGATGTGCCAGCAACCAATGTACATGCCCTTGACGGGAATCGAACCTGGGATCTTCCTCTATCCACTGAGCCAAACCGGCTTCGGCTTTTTTTCATTTTTAAAAATAAATTTTTATTGTTCAGATTATTACAATTGTTCCTCTTTTTCCCCCCATAGCTCCCTCCCCAGGTTCCCATCCCACCCTCTGTCCTTACACGTCCACCTACCCCCACACTGTCCTCATCCATAGGTGTACGATTTTTGTCCAGTTTCTTCCCACACCCCCCCACACCCTTTCCCCCTGAGAATGGCCAGTCTACTCCCTTTCTATGCCCCTGATTCTATTATATTCACCAGTTTATTCTGTTCATCAGATTCCCCCCCCCCCCCCGGTATTCACTGAAAGTTTTATTTCTTTAGGATTTCTTCCCAACCATTGTTTATTTTTTTTTAATTTATTTTTTTAATTGATTTTTGTACAGAGAGGAAGGGAGAGAGACAGAGAGTTAGAAACATCGATGAGAGAGAGTCATCGATCAGCTGCCTCTTGCACACCCCCTACTGGGGATATGCCCGCAGCCAAGGTACATGCCCTTGACCGGAATAGAACCTGGGACCTTTCAGTCCCCAAGCCGACACTCTATCCATTGAGCTAAACCGGCCTTGGCCCAACCATTGTTTAAAAACCAAGTAACAGCCGAAACCGGTTTGGCTCAGTGGATAGAGCATCGGCCTGTGGACTGAAAGGTCCTGGGTTCAATTCCGGTCAAGGGCATGTACCTTGGTTGTGGGCACATCCGCAGTAGGGGGTGTGCAAGAGGCAGCTGATCGATGATTCTCTCTCATCGGTGTTTCTAACTCTCTATCCCTCTCTCTTCCTTTCTGTAAAAAATCAATAAAATATATTAAAAAAATAAATCAACAATGACATAAAAAAAATCAATGTTAAAAATTAAGTAACACACACCTGGGTGCGGGAGCTGCGAATGGCACCTCTCTCCTAATCACCACAGACAGCGGTGGGAAAGGGAGGAGACAGCAGCAGCAGGAATGGAAATGATGACATCACAGAGCCAGCTCCCTCCTCTCCGGGGCCTTGCTGGAGCTCCTATGGCTTGCGAATGGGGAGACACTCCCCTGGGTCCTCCCCCTACCCCACCCATCCCTCTCCCCCTCCCCTCCTCTCCCACTCCTCTCCTCTACCCCACCCCTCCTCTCCTCCACCCCTCCTCTCCCCCATCCTCCTCTCCCCCATTCTCCTCTCCCCCCACCCCTCCTCTCCCCCACCTCTCCTCAGATAGCCTCCCTGGGGGCTCAACCCATTTCTCCCGCAGGAGACTGAGGCACATGGAGATGAGGAAGTGGGAAGAGGAAGTCACAGGAGAGGCAGGGAGGTGGCGTGAATGAAGGCAGAGGTGAAGTGTGGGCAAGGCTCCCGCTTGGAGACCCCTAGACACATACCACCCCCATGCCCATCCTGGGGATTGATGAGGAAGCCGCACCATCATGCGGCATTTGGGGAGATGAGGTGGAGATTAAAACTGAGGGGCCCCAAGGTGGGCCAGGGCGTGGGCCTCAGTCGCTGTTCTCCGAGTTGTATTCCAGCTCGGCACCCACGCACTTGACACCATCCAGCAGCATGGGTGTGCCTTATAACCGTGGTTTTGAACTCTGTATTCTGTCATTTGCTTTCCTCCATTTCTTTGATTTGTGACCTGTTTCTTTGTCTCTGCATTTTGGCTGCTTCCCTGTGTTGATAGAGTGGCTTTGTGTGCTAGGTGTCCTATAGGGTCCCAGTGGCTCAGCCTCGTCAGTTACCTGAGGTGGACACTCTTGGTGCACCCCTTTGTGGGCTGTGTGCACAGTCTTGTGATAGTTAAGCCTTGGTCATTGTTGGTATCACTGGGAGAAATTGACCTCCAGGCCAATTGGGTGTGAGGATCAGCTGTGTCTATGCTGGGAGAACTTCTGTGCTGGAGACACCTGTATGAGAGAAGACTTGCAAAAGCCTCTGTGCTCAGCTTGGATGGGGCAGAGTCTCAGGGCAGAGTCAATAGCAATGGCTTCCCTTCAGCCCTGTCCTAAGAGGCCCTTGGGTCTCAGTGTCCCTTGGGAATCGCTGCAAGCACCTCTGAGAGAAAGCCGCCCTCCAGTTTCACCTACTGCCAGACAGTCCAGTTTCTCCCCGAATGAGTCTGGGTCCCCAGAGTCTAGCCTGGAACTGGAGTTCAGAGCAGTTGGGATCTTTTGTTTCCCTCCTGATTGAGAAAGCCAGCCATGCACTCAGTTGTCAGCCATCTCCACACGTGCCTCAGTACCCCTGCCTTCTGCAGCTCCTGTGAGTCTCAGTGTGCTTTTCTCTTTCCTTCTAGTTGTGGAATTTCCACTCAGCCAGCCTTCCTGTGGTTCTGGATGATGTTCGTTTTGTCTTTTAGTTGTAGTTTTGAAATTGTTGTGCAAGGCAGCACTTTAGATGTTCACCTATGCTGCCATCTTGGTTTCTCCCCATTTTTATTTTTTACTTTCTGTTAATCCTCAGTCGAGGATATTTTTCCATTGATTTAAACATTTATTTTATTGATTTCAGAGAGGAAGAAAAAGGAAGAGTGGGATAGAAACACCAATGATGAGAGCATGCCCCACCGCCCCCTCCACTAGAGATGGAGCCCTCAACCCCGGGGCATGTGCCCTTGATTGAAATTGAACCCAGGACCTTTCAGTTCACCAGCCTACTTTCTATCCAAACTGGCGAGGGCAGGTCTTCCTCCATTAAAAATATTTTTTTAAATTGATTTCAGACGAGGGATAATCAGCTGCCTCCTGCACACTTCACACTGGGGAGCAAGCCCGCAACCCAGTCATGTTCCTCTGACTGGAGTCAAACCTGGGACCCTTCAGTCGGGGCTGACGTTCTATCCACTGAGCCAAATTGGCTGGGGCTCTTCCTCCATTTTTATCTCCTCCTCCCTACTCCCCCCTCTTTCTTTGACTCACACTTTGCCTCAACCTTTCCCCTTTCCCCTTCCTAATCCATCGCCCTCTTACCCTCCTCCTCCTTCTTCTCCAAGGCCTCTGGTGCCCTTTTCATGTCCTTTCCTTCTCCTCGGCACACTCCAGCCCTCCTCACTGCTCTTCCGGCAAGCACCTTCCTGCCCCAGGGCCTTTGCATTGGCTGTCCCCTCTGCCAGAGGACCCTTATCGGCCTCACTGACCTCTATCCCTCCTCCTTCATTCATTGGTGTATGTTCTCCTCCAGAACTCTCCCCTCCCCACTGCCTCAGGTTCCTTTTTTTTTTTTTTTAAATATATTTTATTGATTTTTTACAGAGAGAAGAGAGAGGGATAGAGAGTTAGAAACATCGATGAGAGAGAATCATCGATCAGCTACCTCTTGTACACACATCCCCCCCCCCCCCCCACTGGGGATGTGCCTGCAACCAAGGTACATGCTCTTGACCGGAATCGAACCTGGGACCTTTCAGTCCACAGGTTGACGCTCTATCCACTGAGCCAAACCAGTCTTGACCTCAGGTTCCTTTTGATGACCTCTCAGCTCTGTTGTACTTCAATGTGGTGTTTGACGGGTTCCCAGCTGCCTCCCCCATCAGACTGGATGAACCCCTAAAAGCAAAGTTCACATCTGTCTGGTTCCACTTTCCCATCCCGGGGCCTGGCACACAGTGGTTGGGCAGGACATGTGAGCTGAGAGAACACTGTGAACTAGAATCTCAGTGTCCTGACTCCCCACTCCTGCACCCCCCTCCCTTTTACTCCCCATGAAGAAATCAGAGCTCAGAGAGGCCACGTCTCAGGCCAGGAGCACACAGCAGCCGCCGGACACTGCCCCATTCCTGAGGGACTTGGAACCCCTACAGACCTGCAGGGCATGAGTCCTGATTCTCAACCCCTGGCTCAGTTGGCCGCAGCCAGCCAGGGAAGTGGGGCATTTTTAGGAAGGAGAAACGTTTTTAATTGGGCCATTGTGTCGGGGTTTGTGGGGAGACCTTGAACAGATGAAATTCCTCTTCTTGGGCTTTGGGGCCGGCAACACTGTTTTGGAACATTCTGGTAGCCCAGCTGGGAGTGGGAGTGGAGCGGGGGAGGAGGGAGAAGTGGTGAGGTCACGTGGCCCCGTGGAAGGGTTTGCTTCCTGGAATCAAGGGAACATGCAGAAGGCAAGGGTTCAATTGCCTGAGCAGCTGAGAACCCTTGAGCAATTCCAGGAACTTCTCTGGACCCATTTCCTCATTTGTTAGACGGGGCTGGTGGGAGTGCAATGACCAGGTGGGCTTTCTGAGCTCCCCCTGAGCCCTCCTTCAGGCTGGGGATAGAGAAGGGGGAGGGGCGCCCCAGCCTGGCCCTCTAGAGCAGAGGTTCTCACAGCATATGACTCTGACCCCCAGGGTCACTGATAATTTCTCCAGGCAGCTCTTGTCACAACCTGGCCAAAGGGCAGGAGGGTCTGGCACCTTGTGGGTGGAGGCCAGAGATACCGTGACCTCCTACCCATTCAGGGCAGCCTCCCCCTCCCGCCCCAGAGAGCACTCACCCCAGCTCAGACGTCCACAGTGCGGAGGTGGAGAAACCCTGCCCTAGAATGTCAGAGTGAGGCAGGAAGGAAACTGACAAAGTCCACGCACAGAGACAGGGTCTGGGAGGTGGGGAGGTGTGAGCAGGGGAGCCTGTGTCAGGGAAGGTGTTTGGGGGTCCCTGGGTGGACAGCAGGGGCCATAAAGGGGGATCTATTGACACCTCATTGGGGACTGCAGGATCTGTGGGCCATGCAGAATTTTGACCAGACACAAGGGTCCTGATCCCAGTGCCATGCACAGGAAGTCTCATGGACAATAGTCAGGATCTCAGTAGAAGATGGAGGAAGTAAGGTAACAGACAGGAAGGAATTGAGGGCATGTGAGGATCCAAGAGAGTGGGTGAAGGGTCCATCAGGATGATGGCCCTCCACTCTGGAGAAGCAGACTCCCTGGAGGCGGGGATCTGCAGGATACATAAGAATTTGGGGGATGGAGGAGAGAGGAACATGGTGACAAATGCCCGGCCTGGGTGTGTCTGCAGATCCAGGTCTGAATGCCAGCCCCACACTTTCGGCCTTTATTTTTTCAATTGATTATTCTTTGTCGGAACCCGCCCATTGTCCTCATATTGAGGGATTGGTAGCTGAAGCAACATCCATCTGTCAATCTTAGGTAACTCCTTGCTGATTGGCTATTATTGGAATTGCCTGCCTCTATGGGTAGATCCCAAAGTCTTAATAAAAGGGATAGCGAGGCCAGAGAGGTGTGTAGTCCTCCCAGCAGAGGTGGGCTCCCGCCTGGCCCCCAATACCGCCAAATTAATATATTTTCTCGTCTCTTTCATTTGTGTGCGGCCTCCTCCAAGATCTGCACCCTGAACTTGAACCATGCGGGTCGTGAGTTTCCCAAAATTCTTTATATTGATTGATTGATTTTAGAAAGTGAAGGAGAGAAACATGATTTGGTTGTCTTAGTTATTTATGCACTCATTGACTGATTCTTGTCTGTGCCCTTACTGAGGATTGAACTGTGACCTTGACTTATCGGGAGGACACTGCAACCACCTGAGCTACTCAGCCAGGGCTTAGCTGAGTTTTAGAGAGAGAGGAAAAAGAGGGGAAGGGAGAGGGAAAGAGAGAAAAATCTATGTGAAAGCAAAACATTGATTGGCTGGATCCTGCATGCCCCCTAGCTGGGAAGGAGCCTGCGACCTGGGCATGAGACTTGCCCAGGAATTGAACTGGCAACATTTTGGTGCTTGGGAAGATGCACAACCACCTGAGCTACACCCACCAGGGCCAGCCCTGCACTTTCCAGGGAGGGGATGGGGAACCAGACAAGGTGTCCTTCTCCTCACAGCCTCGGTTTCCATGGAAAGGGATGGGGAGCAGGAGCCTCAGGAGACAGTGAGGAGAGAAGACCAGAATGCTGAGCACTGAGGAGGCACTGATGGGGCTGGGGGAAGGGTGGACAGTCCTTTAGGATGAATCCATCGGAGAAGAGGGCTGGGGAGGCAGTGGGGTGGGTGGTAACTGCCCAACCCTGTGGGTTTCTGGGAACATTCTGGAACAAGGAAGGCTGGGTGTAGACATCAAAGGGTCCCAGATGCTTGGGACAGACACAGTGATCCTCCCGGAAGTACAGATTAAGTTCGTTCCCCCAAAAGGGGATGCTTACTTTGTGGAACCCAAAGACCCAGAAAAAGTTCCCTTCCAGAAACCATGACAGCAAAGGACAGATGCCCCCTCCCACTTCATGACCCGCCCAGATTGAAGGTGGCGGGGGAGGGGACAGCATTGGGCCAACTTCCATGTTTTCCATGAACCACCCTCTGCCACCTGGCCTCCCCCATCCGTCCCCTCCCCACAACAGTGTTGGCCCTCAGGCCTGGCCAGGTCAGGGAACCCAGAGGCAAACAGGCGAGTCCAGGTAGTGGCCTAAGAGACAAGAAGGCCGAGTCAGGGCGGGATTGAGGCGACAGAACTCGCTCCAATCCCACCATGAGCCTCACCCCACTCCTGCCTGGACCCCTCCCTCTGACACCCACAAAGGGTGGGACTGAGTGCCTGTCACTCCTTGAGTCAATTATCAGAGATGGGTTGAATGCTATGAAGATTTATTAGGATAGTGCAGGCCGAATGGAAGAGAGTGCCTTCGGACCAGGTTGTTATCTTTCCAAGAGGAGAGGAGGCTCAGAGAAGGAGCAGGGACTGCATTCTGAGGTTCATCCCCATGGCCCTGGGCGAATAATGCTCAGCCAGGTTAGAATGGCTTTGCCTGATCAGAAGAGAACATGGCGGTTAGCAGACAGGAATAACAGGATGGCATAGTGGGTCCCCACTGTTCTATTTCTGCCCCAACAGCTCCTCACTGACACTCCTCTCTCCCTCTATTCCTCCCTCCCAAAGGCCTCTCCTCAGTGCCCAGCCCTCCTCCCCAGGCAGGCCCCTACCCAGGCCCTGACTGTCCCTAGCTCCTCCCATCCCCCTCCAGCCCCCTCCTCACCTGCAGGCTTCCAGGGAACTCAGGCCAGCAGGCCCGGGAGGCTCAGGGTCAGGAGCACAGAGATCTTGGAGAGGCTGATCCCGGAGTTGGGGAGCCCCTTGGCAGGGACCAAGGCCTCATTCTTTTGTCTGAGAGGAAGATGGGGACAACTCAGCAGGCTGCCAGGCCTGGCTCCACTGGTGCTGGGCTTCAAGGCCCTCCACATCTGCTCTCCTTCCTCAGCAATCACTGGGCAGGAGAGGGGCCGGTGGCTCCCAGAGTTGGGTCGCTGGATGGCCAAGGCAGGGACTCCAACTTTGTCCCCAGGGCAAGGGGAATTTTCAGAGCCCAGGGGACCCTAGGTATTGGGGTTGGAAGGAGAAAGGGGTGTGGCCTGGGGTGGGTGGGTTGCTCCTGACCTTAGTTGCTCCAGCTCCTGGGACTTGTCCTGCAGCGACTGCTTCACTGTCTTGATCTCCTCTTAGGGGAGACAGAGAGTGTGTCAGCACCCTCTACTGACCCCACCTCGGGACAGGACCCGCCTCTAGCCCGCCTTCATTTGGGGAGAGCACCTTGGAAGTCGGGCATGCCTGCCCCTTCCTACTCCCACTGGACTGGGTCCTGTCCCTCTCACCGGACCCCAATCCCGAGGCCCCCCCTTCCCTCCTCTTCACACCTGACCTGCTCCTGCCAACTCCCTACTGGAGTCAGGCCTGTGTTTTTCTCACCTTGAAGCTTCTGCACCAGCTCCTGCTGCTTGCGGCCCCTAGTCTTCTCCTCTTCCAGGGAAATCTTCAGGGTCTCCTGGGATGCCATGGAGGAGTGAGGGTGTTGGAAACTGGGGTTCTTATTCCCGGAGGGGTTGGCTGCTGTCCCTGGGCCCTGCCCCCTCCCCAGGCCCAAACCCCTTTCAGGATTCCTCCCAACCCTCTCTGAACCTGTCTCCACCCTGAAGAATGGCCATAGCCTCCCACCCTCCCAGGGAGTGTTCCTCAAAATGGAAATTTTGCTGAAACCGATTTGGCTCGGTGGATTGAGTGTCAGCCTGTGGACTGAAAGGTCCTGGGTTCGATTCCGCTCAAGAGCATGTACCTGGGTTGCGGGCACATCCCCAGTAGGAGGTGTGCAAGAGGCAGCTCTGGCTGGGTAGCTCAGTTGGTAAGATCGTCATGCCAATATGACAAGGTTGTGGGCTCAAGCCCTGGTCAGGGCCAAAATGAGAATCAACCAATAAGTGCATCAATAAGTGGAACAATAAATCAATGTTTCTCTCACTCTTTTTCTTCCTCTCTCTAAAATTAATGAATAAAAATAAAAATAGAGATGCAAATCATAACAGCAATGCGGTACCATCTCACACCTGTCAGAACGGCCAACATCAACAAATCAACAAACGACAAGTGTTGGCGAGGTTGCGGGGAAAAAGGAACCCTCATGCATCGCTGGTGGGAATGCAGACTGGTGCAACCACTGTGGAGAGCAGTATGGAGCTTCCTCAAAAACTGAAAATGGAATTTCCATTTGACCCAGTAATCCCACTCCTAGGATTATATCCCAAGAAACTAGAAACACCAATCAGAAAGGATATTTGCACCCCTACGTTCATAGCAGCGCAATCTACAATAGCTAGGATTTGGAAACAGCCTAGGTGCCCATCAGCAGATGATTGAATCAAAAAAACACGGTACGTCTACACAATGGAATACTATGCTGCCATAAAAAACGAATTCTCATCATTTGCAGCAACCTGGATGGAATTGGAGAACATCATGCTGAGTGAAACATGCCAGTCAATGAAAGAGAAACACCACATGACCTCACTCATTTATGGATAATAAAGAACATTATAAACTGATGAACCAAAAGATAGATAAAGAGACAGTAAAGCAACAAGCAGACTGTCAAATTACAGTGGGGAGGATAGGGAGATCTGGGGGAGATAATAGATCAACCGAAGGACTTGTATACATGCATATAAGTACAACCAATGTTCACAAAACTATGGGGAGGGAGGGTATATATAGGAGGGGAGGACAATGGTAAGATATGTACACAGATAATAATTTAATAAAAATTAAAATTAAAAAAAATAAATAAAGAAAAAGCCCCCTGCCTTCTTCGAAGTCTGGTGGGTTCCCCATCCCCACCGCAGAGGGGATTTCTGCTTCCTTGTGACTGTGCCCGGGGGGAGTCCCAGCCGCCCTAGACCAGTGTCCTGGAGTTTGCAGATTCATCCACATGTAACGGGGGATACTGAGGCCCCTTATTGGGTGCTCTGGGGTCCCACACTGGCACCCCAGAGAGACTTGAGCTCCCCAAACCCTGCTGGGGAAATCCAGGCTCCCCATGGAGGGGCCTAGGGGCAGGTTCAAGGTCTAGCTTGATCTCCAGCTGGACTCTGGGGTCCCCAAGCACCTGGGCCCTGGGATCCTCCCAAGCACAGGGCCTCTCTAGGAGGGGCAGTCACTTACCACAGTCTGGTTACAAGTAGCAGCTTGGGCCTCAGTGCCCCGCAAGGCATCCTGGGCCTGGGTCAGCTCCTGATCCAGGAGGTGGGTGATGTTTCGACACTCCCGCTCAGCTCGGAGGCCATCCTTGCAAGCTGGGCTATTGGCCTTGGCAGCGAGAACGCCGACTGCCACAGACAGACCCACCACCAGTAGGCTCAGCAGGATCCCCACAATCCCCACCCACCCTGGCAGCTTGTGGGCCCCCAGCTTCTTGGGGTACTCATCCATGGCCACAGGAGGGTGGCAGTAAAAAGTGGGTGCCATCTAGAGGGATTCGTGGGAGCCGGGGAGGAAGTTTGGAAAGAAAGCTGGAACTTTCTACTTGCTGGAGCTGCCCCCTTATTACCATAGGATCTGTGCTGACCAATGAAAACTTCCAAAACTGGACATCTGCAGGAAAAGGACAGTGTATCTTTCACTTTCATTTCCCAGAAATGAGGTGCGTTGTTGCTGCTAAATTATTGGCTCAGTCCTTGTGGGCTGGCTGCTGGCCGGTGAGCTCCTGTGGGAGAGAACACCCCATCGCAAGGCCCTCCCTTCTCCTGGGTTCCTGCTGCTGTCTCAGGGGACCGTGGGGGCCACGGAGAATGTCAGAGGAGGAATATCCTTCTGCCTGGACCGCTTAAAGCCACTCAGCAGCCACAGGACCAGGATGGGGATGCTCTTGCTGAGGAGTCTCCAAGGAGCTTGTGCAGCCCCTGAGCAGGCGCCTCTCTCCCAGCCCAGGACCCCAGGGGCAAGGACACAGCCCTGGGGAAAGCGGACCTGTGTGAGCTGCGCTGTGCTGGCCTTCACACCATAGGGCCAATGCGGGACCAGCACTGCGGGTCCTGTGGGACTCTGGGCAAGCAATGTTCCCTCCGCCTCAGTTTCCACAGTGAAATGGGGGTGATGATAACAGTAACATTTTTTGTGCCCCCACCCCCCCCTAATTTTGCCACCAAGGCCAGTGCCTTCCTCCCCTCGCACTAGTCCTGGCCCTGCAAACAGAAAGCTGTGGGTTTTCCCTATAAACCGGTGATGCCACCATTGTTTTGTTTGCTCAGGTTAAGGTCCAAGCACTTGTGACCAAGTCTGATTGGCAGCGAGGGTGGGGAATCTCAGGGAAGTGATGAGAGGGAAGAGGCGGGCGTTGTGATCTCTGATGAGGAAGTTGATGATGCTCCCATGCCAGGAAAAGCAGAGCACAGTGTGGGGGTGGGAAACACACTTTCCTTCCACGTTTCTAGTGGTTCTGGCTAGACTCCTAATCCAAGTAACACAGACAGGGGAACAGGCACCAGCAGCCAGCTCGCTTGCAGGGGACATGCTATCACACATGACAGCTTCATTACGTGTCTGTATTGTGCCATGGGAGCCCCCAGGACAGCGGGGCATTGGGGGCCTGGGTGCCATCCAGAGCTACAGAGGGGGAGCCCATGTGCCTGGACTGGGGCAGGAGGTCTGCTGGGCCACCTGCAACCTGGACGAGGGTCCAAAGGGCCTCGCTCGTGTCCTCTCCGTCCTCCCTCCTGGTTCACGTTAAACCGCAGAGGCCTGTGATGGCGCCCCCTGGAGCAGGTCCTCCTGTAATCCCTTCAGGCCGATGGGGAGGAGGGCAGGTGCTTCCTGAGGCCGCTGTGTCTTGAAAGCAACAGATTAAAACAGGCAGGATCTTCAAAGGCGTGTTTGGGGTGGTACCCTGTGCTCCCCTCAATAGGGTTTCCCCAGATTCAGGGAATGTTTGTGAGAATGTACTCCCTCATAGCTTCTATTTTTTTAAAAAAATATATATTTTATTAATTTTACAGAGAGGAAGGGAGAGAGATAGAGAGCTAGAAATGTCGATGAGCGAGAAACATCGACCAGCTGCCTCTTGTACACCTTCTACCGGGGATGTGCCTGCAACCAATGTACATGCCCTTGACTGGAATCGAACCTGGGATCTTTCAGTCTGCAGACCGATGCTCTATCACTGAGCCAAGCCAGTTTTGGGTCTATTTTATATATATATATATATATATATATATATATATATATATATATATATATATATAATTTCAGAGAGAAGGGAGAAGGAAAGATAGTTGGAAACATCAGTGATACATGAGAATCATTGATTGGCTGCCTCCTGCACACCCCCTACCGGGATGTGCCTGCAACCAAGGTACATGTTCTTGACCAGAATCGAACCTGGGACCTTTCAGTCTGCAGACCGACGCTCTATCCACTGAGCCAAACTGGTTTTGGCCCAAAGTCTTAATAAAAGGGATAGCAAGGTCAGAGAGGTGTGTAGTCCTCCCAGTAGAGAAGGGCTCCTGCCTGGCCCCAATATCGCCAGATTAATATATTTTCTCGTCTCTTTCATTTGTGTGCAGCCTCCTCCAGAATCTGAACCCTGGACCTGAACCCTGAACCATGTGGGATGTGAAAGGGGTTCCCACAATTTTTCATATTGATTGATTGATTTTACAGAGAGATGGAGTGAGGGAGAGGAACCTCATTTTGTTGTCTCAGTTATTTATGCACTCATTGGTTGATTCTTGTCTGTGCCCTTACTGAGGATTGAACCGTGACCTTGACTTACCGGGAGGTCACTACAACCAACTGAGCTACCCAGCCAGGGCTTAGCTGAGTTTTAGAGACAGAGGAAGAAGAGGGTAAAGGACAAGGAAAGTGAGAAAAATCTATGTGAGAGCAAAACCTTGATTGGCAGGATCCTGCATGCCCCCTAGCCGGGAAGGAGCCTGCAACCCGGGTATGAGACTCGCCCAGGAATTGAACTGGGAACCTTTTGGTGCTTGGGAAGATGAACTACCCCCTGAGCCACACCCAGCGGGGCCAGCCCTGCACTTTCCAGGGGAGGGGATGTGAGTCCTTCTCCTCACAGCCTTGGTTTCCATGGAAAGGGATGGGGAACAGGAGCCTCAGGAGACCGTGGAGAGAAGACTAGAATGCTGAGCACTTAGGAGGCACTGATGGGGGTGGGGATGGGTGGACAGTCTTTTAGGATGAATTCATCAGAGAAGAGGGCTGGGGAGGCAGTGGGTGGGTGGTACCTGACCAACCCTGTGGGTTTCTGGGGATGTTCTGGTTCAAGGAAGGCTGTGTGTAGACATCAAGGGGTCCCAGATGCTTGGGACGGACACAGTGATCCTCCAGGAAGTACAGAGTAAGTTTGTTCTCCCAAAAAGAGATGCTTATTTTGTGGAACCCAAAAACACCAGAAAAAGTTCCTTTCCAGAAACCATGACAGCAAAGGACAGATGCCCAATCCTACTTCATGACTTGCCGGCTTGGAGGGGGTGGGGGGGAATGCTTTGTGCCAACTTTGATGCTTCCCCACCTCTAAGGCTGCCCATGACCCACCCCCTGCCACCTGGCCCCGGCCTCCCCCATCCGTCCCCTCCCCACAGCAGTGTTGGCCCTCAGGCCTGGCCAGCTCAGGAAACCCAGAGGCAAACAGGCGAGTCCAGGTGGTGGCCTAAGAGACAAGAAGGCCGAGTCAGGGCGGGATTGAGGCGACAGAACTTGTCCCAATCCCACCATGAGCCTCACCCCACTCCTGCCTGGACCCTTCCCTCTGACACCCACAACAGGTAGGTCTGGGTGCCTGTCACTCCTTGAGTCAATTGTCAGACAGAGATGTGATGAATGCTATGAAGATTTATTAGGATGGTGCAGGCCTATTGCAAGAGAGTGCCTCTAGGACCAGGTTGTTATCTTTCCAAGATGAGAGGAGACTCAGAGAAGGAGCAGGGACTGCATTCTGAGGTTCATCCCCATGGCCCTGGGCGAACATCGCTCAGCCAGGTTAGAATGGCTTTGCCTGATCAGAAGAGAACATGGCGGTTAGCAGACAGGAATAACAGGATGGCATAGTGGGTCCCCACTGTTCTATTTCTGCCCCAACAGCTCCTCACTGACACTCCTCTCCCTCCCTCCCAAAGTCCTCTCCTCAGTGCCCAGCCTCCTCCCCCCGGCAGGCCACCACCCAGGCCCTGACTGTCCCTAGCTCCTCCCATCACCCTCCAGCCCCCTCCTCACCTGCAGGCTTCCTGGGACCTCAGGCCAGCAGGGCCTGAAGGCTCAGGGTCAGGAGCACAGGGGCCATGGAGAGACGGAGGCTGATCCCGGAGTTGGGGGGGCACTTGGCAGAGACCAAGGCCTCATTCTCTCGTCTGAGGGGAAGATGGGGACAACTCAGCAGGCTGCCAGGTCTGGCTCCACTGGTGCTGGGTTCCAAGGCCCTGCACATCTGCTCTCCTTCCTCACCAATATGGGCAGGAGCTGGTGGCTCCCAGAGTTGGGTGACTGCAGGGCCAAGACTGGGATTCCAACTTTGTCCCCAGGGCACGGGGACTTTTCAGAGCAAAAGGGACCCTAGGTTTTGGGGTTGGATGGAACCAGGGGCGTGGCCTGGGGTGGGTGGGTGTCCTGACCTTAGTTGTTCCAGCTCATAAGATTTCTCCTCCAGTTCCTGATTCAATGTCTGGATCTCCTCTAAGGAGGGACAGAGCATGTGTCAGCACCCACAACTGGCCCCACCTCGGGCCAGGACCCCGCCTCCAGCCTTCCTCCATTGGAGCCAGTGCACCTTGGAAGTCTTTAATGCCTGCCCCTTCCTTCTTCCACTCCACTGGGTCTTGTTCCTCTCACCCAGTGTTCTCAACCTTCCTAATGCTGCACCCCTTTAATACAGCTCCTCATGTTGTGGTGCCCCCCAACCATAAAATCATTTTCCTTGCTACTTCATAACTGTCATTTTGCTACTGCTATGAATCATTATGTAAATATCTGTGTTTTCCGATGGTCTTAGGCTACTCCTGTGAAAGGGTCATTCAACCTCCAAAGGGGTCATGACCCTACAGGTTGAGAACCACTGCTCTCCCCGGACCCCAATCCTGAGGCCCTCCCCCTCCCTCCTCTTCACACCTGACCTGCCCCTGCCAACTCCCTTACTGCAGCCAGGCCTGTGTTTTTCTCACCTTGAAGCTTCTGCACCACCTCCTGTTGCTGGTTGCCCACAGCCATCTCCATTAGCAGGGCAATCATCAGGGTCACCTGGGATGCCAGGGAAAAGTAAGGGTTTGGAAACTGATGGGGTTGGGTGCTATGTCTGCCGCCCTCCCCGCCACCCCACCTTCCCACCCCCAGCTTGCTCTCCAGAAAGTCTGCAAACTTTCCACACTCCTGCTCCGCTCGGAGGCCATCTTTGCCAGCTGGACTATTGGCCTTGGCAGCCAAAAGGACTGCTGCCACCGACAGACTTACCACCAGTAAGCCCAGCAGGATCCCCACCCACACAGGCAGCTTGCGGTCCTCCAGCTTCTTAGGGTACTCATCCAAGGGCTCAGAGGGGCAGTGATAATAATGAGGTGACATCCACAGGGATTTGGGGGAGCCTGGGAGGGAGTTCAGAAAGAAAGCTGGAACTTTCTACTTCCTGGAGTTGTCCCCTTATTACCATATGATCTATGCTGACCAATGAAAGCTTCCAAAAATGGACACATGCACGAAAAGGACAGTTTATCTATCACTTTCATTTCCCAGGAATGAGGTGCGTTGTTGCTGCTACATTACTGTTTGACTTAGACCTTGTGGGCTGGCTGCTGGCCCGTGAGCTCCTGTGGGAGAGGACACCCCATCGCAAGGCCCTGCCCTTCTCCTGTGTCCCTGAAGGGGACAGAGGCAGTGACCGGAAGCCTAGGGCATGCCAGCATTGTGTGCCTGTGGTCTGTGATCTGAAGAGGCAGAGCCATCATTGGTCCAGTCCCCAGCTGAGGCTGAGAGGTGAGTGGTGGCTGGGAGTGGGCAGGGCCGGGGACTCACCCAAGAGGCTGGCGTTGGTGTCACTCTCCGTAGTGACCCAGCAGGAGCTCCCTGAGAATCCCTGCTGCTGTCTCAGGGGACCCTGGGGGCCACGGAGGCTGTCGGAGGAGGAATATCCCTCTGCCTGGACCGCTTAAAGCCACTCAGCAGCCACAGGACCAGGATGGAGATGCTCTTGCTGAGGAGTCTCCAAGGAGCTTGTGCAGCCCCTGAGCAGGCGCCTCTCTCCCAGCCCAGGACCCCAGGAGCAAGGACACAGCCCTGGGGAAAGCGGACCTGTGTGAGCTGCGCTGTGCTGGCCTTCACACCATAGGGCCAACGCGGGACCAGCACCGCAGGTCGGAGGCCAAGGCTGTGAGTGAGCACCCTGCCTCCCTGTGGGACTCTGGGCAAGCAATGTCCCCTCTGCCTCAGTTTCCTCGGAGCTGGAAAATGGGGGTGGGGATACAGTAACATTTTCCTGCTTTTCCAATTTTGCCACTGAGGCCAGTGCCTTCCTCCCCTCGCACTAGTCCTGGCCCTGCAAACAGAAAGCTGTGCGTTTCCCTATAAACCGGTGATGCCACCATTGTTTTGTTTGCTCAGGTTAAGGTCCAAGCACTTGTGACCAAGTCTGATTGGCAGCGAGGGGGTGGAATCTCAGGAAAGTGATGAGAGGGAAGAGGCGGGCGTTGTGATCTCTGATGAGGAAGTTGATGATGCTCCCATGCCAGGAAAAGCAGAGCACAGTGTGGGGGTGGGAAACACACTTTCCTTCCACGTTTCTAGTGGTTCTGGCTAGACTCCTAATCCAAGTAACACAGACAGGGGAACAGGCACCAGCAGCCAGCTCGCTTGCAGGGGACATGCTATCACACATGACAGCTTCATTACGTGTCTGTATTGTGCCATGGGAGCCCCCAGGACAGCGGGGCATTGGGGGCCTGGGTGCCATCCAGAGCTACAGAGGGGGAGCCCATGTGCCTGGACTGGGGCAGGAGGTCTGCTGGGCCACCTGCAACCTGGACGAGGGTCCAAAGGGCCTCGCTCGTGTCCTCTCCGTCCTCCCTCCTGGTTCACGTTAAACCGCAGAGGCCTGTGATGGCGCCCCCTGGAGCAGGTCCTCCTGTAATCCCTTCAGGCCGATGGGGAGGAGGGCAGGTGCTTCCTGAGGCCGCTGTGTCTTGAAAGCAACAGATTAAAACAGGCAGGATCTTCAAAGGCGTGTTTGGGGTGGTACCCTGTGCTCCCCTCAATAGGGTTTCCCCAGATTCAGGGAATGTTTGTGAGAATGTACTCCCTCATAGCTTCTATTTTTTTAAAAAAATATATATTTTATTAATTTTACAGAGAGGAAGGGAGAGAGATAGAGAGCTAGAAATGTCGATGAGCGAGAAACATCGACCAGCTGCCTCTTGTACACCTTCTACCAGGGATGTGCCTGCAACCAATGTACATGCCCTGGACTGGAATCGAACCTGGGATCTTTCAGTCTGCAGACCGATGCTCTATCACTGAGCCAAGCCAGTTTTGGGTCTATTTTAAATATATATATATATATATATATATATATATATATATATATATATATATATAATTTCAGAGAGAAGGGAGAAGGAAAGATAGATGGAAACATCAGTGATACATGAGAATCATTGATTGGCTGTCTCCTGCACACCCCCTACCGGGATGTGCCTGCAACCAAGGTACATGTTCTTGACCGGAATCGAACCTGGGACCTTTCAGTCTGCAGACCGACGCTCTATCCACTGAGCCAAACCGGTTTTGGCCCAAAGTCTTAATAAAAGGGATAGCAAGGTCAGAGAGGTGTGTAGTCCTCCCAGTCGAGAAGGGCTCCTGCCTGGCCCCAATATCGCCAAATTAATATATTTTCTCGTCTCTTCCATTTGTGTGCAGCCTCCTCCATAATCTGAACCCTGGACCTGAACCCTGAACCATGTGGGATGTGAAAGGGGTTCCCACAATTCTTCATATTGATTGATTGATTTTACAGAGAGATGGAGTGAGGGAGAGGAACCTCATTTTGTTGTCTCAGTTATTTATGCACTCATTGGTTGATTCTTGTCTGTGCCCTTACTGAGGATTGAACCGAGACCTTGACATACCGGGAGGTCACTACAACCAACTGAGCTACCCAGCCAGGGCTTAGCTGAGTTTTAGAGACAGAGGAAGAAGAGGGGAAGGGAAGGGAAAGTGAGAAAAATCTATGTGAGAGCAAAACATTGATTGGCTGGATCCTGCATGCCCCCTAGCTGGGAAGGAGCCTGCAACCCGGGTATGAGACTTGCCCAGAAATTGAACTGGGAACCTTTTGGTGCTTGGGAAGATAAACTACCCCCTGAGCCACACCCACCAGGGCCAGCCCTGCACTTTCCACGGGAGGGGATGTGAGTCCTTCTCCTCACAGCCTTGGTTTCCATGGAAAGGGATGGGGAACAGGAGCCTCAGGAGACAGTGAGGAGAGAAGACTAGAATGCTGAGCATTTAGGAGGCACTGATGGGGGCGGGGGAAGGCTGGACAGTTCTTTAGGATGAATCCGTCAGAGAAGAGGGCTGGGGAGGCAGTGGGTGGGTGGTACCTGACCAACCCTGTGGGTTTCTGGGGATGTTCTGGATCAAGGAAGGCTGTGTGTAGACATCAAGGGGTCCCAGGTGCTTGGGACGGACACAGTGATCCTCCAGGAAGTACAGAGTAAGTTCGTTCTCCCAAAAGGGGATGCTTATTTTGTGGAACCCAAAGACACCAGAAAAAGTTCCTTTCCAGAAACCATGACAGCAAAGGACAGATGCCCAATCCTACTTCATGACCTGCTGGCTTGGAGGGGGTGGGGGGGAATGCTTTGGGCCAACTTTGATGCTTCCCCACCTCGAAGGCTGCCCATGACCCACCCCCTGCCACCTGGCCCCGGCCTCCCCCATCCGTCCCCTCCCCACAGCAGTGTTGGCCCTCAGGCCTGGCCAGCTCAGGGGACCCAGAGGCAAACAGGCGAGTCCAGGTGGTGGCCTAAGAGACAAGAAGGCCAAGTCAGGGCGGGATTGAGGCGACAGAACTTGTCCCAATCCCACCATGAGCCTCACCCCACTCCTGCCTGGACCTTTCCCTCTGACACCCACAACAGGTAGGTCTGGGTGCCTGTCACTCCTTGAGTCAATTGTCAGACAGAGATGTGATGAATGCTATGAAGATTTATTAGGATGGTGCAGGCCTATTGCAAGAGAGTGCCTCTAGGACCAGGTTGTTATCTTTCCAAGATGAGAGGAGACTCAGAGAAGGAGCAGGGACTGCATTCTGAGGTTCATCCCCATGGCCCTGGGCGAACATCGCTCAGCCAGGTTAGAATGGCTTTGCCTGATCAGAAGAGAACATGGCGGTTAGCAGACAGGAATAACAGGATGGCATAGTGGGTCCCCACTGTTCTATTTCTGCCCCAACAGCTCCTCACTGACACTCCTCTCCCTCCCTCCCAAAGTCCTCTCCTCAGTGCCCAGCCTCCTCCCCCAGGCAGGCCATCACCCAGGCCCTGACTGTCCCTAGCTCCTCCCATCCCCCTCCAGCCCCCTCCTCACCTGCAGGCTTCCTGGGACCTCAGGCCAGCAGGGCCTGGAGGCTCAGGGTCAGGAGCACAGGGGCCATGGAGAGACGGAGGCTGATCCCGGAGTTGGGGGGGCACTTGGCAGAGACCAAGGCCTCATTCTCTTGTCTGAGGGGAAGATGGGGACAACTCAGCAGGCTGCCAGGTCTGGCTCCACTGGTACTGGGCTCCAAGGCCCTCCACATCTGCTTTCCTTCCTCACCAATATGGGCAGGAGCTGGTGGCTCCCAGAGTTGGGTGACTGCAGGGCCAAGACTGGGACTCCAACTTTGTCCCCAGGGCAAGGGGACTTTTCAGAGCAAAAGGGACCCTAGGTTTTGGGGTTGGATGGAACCAGGGGCGTGGTCTGGGGTGGGTGGGTATCCTGACCTTAGTTGTTCCAGCTCATAGGATTTCTCCTCCAGTTCCTGATTCAATGTCTGGATCTCCTCTAAGGAGGGACAGAGCATGTGTCAGCACCCACAACTGGCCCCACCTCGGGACAGGACCCCGCCTCCAGCCTTCCTCCATTGGAGCCAGTGCACCTTGGAAGTCTTTAATGCCTGCCCTTCCTTCTTCCACTCCACTGGGTCTTGTTCCTCTCACCCAGTGTTCTCAACCTTCCTAATGCTGCACCCCTTTAATACAGCTCCTCATGTTGTGGTGACCCCCAACCATAAAATCATTTTCCTTGCTACTTCATAACTGTCATTTTGCTACTGCTATGAATCATTATGTAAATATCTGTGTTTTCCGATGGTCTTAGGCTACTCCTGTGAAAGGGTCGTTCGACCTCCAAAGGGGTCATGACCTACAGGTTGAGAACCACTGCTCTCCCCGGACCCCAATCCTGAGGCCCTCCCCCTCCCTCCTCTTCACACCTGACCTGCCCCTGCCAACTCCCTTACTGCAGCCAGGCCTGTGTTTTTCTCACCTTGAAGCTTCTGCACCACCTCCTGTTGCTGGTTGCCCCTAGCCATCTCCATTAGCAGGGCAATCATCAGGGTCACCTGGGATGCCAGGGAAAAGTAAGGGCTTGGAAACTGATGGGGTTGGCTGCTGTGTCTGCCACCCTTCCCGCCACCCCACCTTCCCACCCCCAGCTTGCTCTCCAGAAAGTCTGCAAACTTTCCACACTCCTGCTCCGCTCGGAGGCCATCTTTGCCAGCTGGACTATTGGCCTTGGCAGCCAAAAGGACTGCTGCCACCGACAGACTTACCACCAGTAAGCCCAGCAGGATCCCCACCCACACAGGCAGCTTGCGGTCCTCCAGCTTCTTAGGGTACTCATCCAAGGGCTCAGAGGGGCAGTGATAATAATGAGGTGACATCCACAGGGATTTGGGGGAGCCTGGGAGGGAGTTCAGAAAGAAAGCTGGAACTTTCTACTTCCTGGAGTTGTCCCCTTATTACCATATGATCTATGCTGACCAATGAAAGCTTCCAAAAATGGACACATGCACGAAAAGGACAGTTTATCTATCACTTTCATTTCCCAGGAATGAGGTGCGTTGTTGCTGCTACATTACTGTTTGACTTAGACCTTGTGGGCTGGCTGCTGGCCCGTGAGCTCCTGTGGGAGAGGACACCCCATCGCAAGGCCCTGCCCTTCTCCTGTGTCCCTGAAGGGGACAGAGGCAGTGACCGGAAGCCTAGGGCATGCCAGCATTGTGTGCCTGTGGTCTGTGATCTGAAGAGGCAGAGCCATCATTGGTCCAGTCCCCAGCTGAGGCTGAGAGGTGAGTGGTGGCTGGGAGTGGGCAGGGCCGGGGACTCACCCAAGAGGCTGGCGTTGGTGTCACTCTCCGTAGTGACCCAGCAGGAGCTCCCTGAGAATCCCTGCTGCTGTCTCAGGGGACCCTGGGGGCCACGGAGGCTGTCGGAGGAGGAATATCCCTCTGCCTGGACCGCTTAAAGCCACTCAGCAGCCACAGGACCAGGATGGAGATGCTCTTGCTGAGGAGTCTCCAAGGAGCTTGTGCAGCCCCTGAGCAGGCGCCTCTCTCCCAGCCCAGGACCCCAGGAGCAAGGACACAGCCCTGGGGAAAGCGGACCTGTGTGAGCTGCGCTGTGCTGGCCTTCACACCATAGGGCCAACGCGGGACCAGCACCGCAGGTCGGAGGCCAAGGCTGTGAGTGAGCACCCTGCCTCCCTGTGGGACTCTGGGCAAGCAATGTCCCCTCTGCCTCAGTTTCCTCGGAGCTGGAAAATGGGGGTGGGGATACAGTAACATTTTCCTGCTTTTCCAATTTTGCCACTGAGGCCAGTGCCTTCCTCCCCTCGCACTAGTCCTGGCCCTGCAAACAGAAAGCTGTGCGTTTCCCTATAAACCGGTGATGCCACCATTGTTTTGTTTGCTCAGGTTAAGGTCCAAGCACTTGTGACCAAGTCTGATTGGCAGCGAGGGGGTGGAATCTCAGGAAAGTGATGAGAGGGAAGAGGCGGGCGTTGTGATCTCTGATGAGGAAGTTGATGATGCTCCCATGCCAGGAAAAGCAGAGCACAGTGTGGGGGTGGGAAACACACTTTCCTTCCACGTTTCTAGTGGTTCTGGCTAGACTCCTAATCCAAGTAACACAGACAGGGGAACAGGCACCAGCAGCCAGCTCGCTTGCAGGGGACATGCTATCACACATGACAGCTTCATTACGTGTCTGTATTGTGCCATGGGAGCCCCCAGGACAGCGGGGCATTGGGGGCCTGGGTGCCATCCAGAGCTACAGAGGGGGAGCCCATGTGCCTGGACTGGGGCAGGAGGTCTGCTGGGCCACCTGCAACCTGGACGAGGGTCCAAAGGGCCTCGCTCGTGTCCTCTCCGTCCTCCCTCCTGGTTCACGTTAAACCGCAGAGGCCTGTGATGGCGCCCCCTGGAGCAGGTCCTCCTGTAATCCCTTCAGGCCGATGGGGAGGAGGGCAGGTGCTTCCTGAGGCCGCTGTGTCTTGAAAGCAACAGATTAAAACAGGCAGGATCTTCAAAGGCGTGTTTGGGGTGGTACCCTGTGCTCCCCTCAATAGGGTTTCCCCAGATTCAGGGAATGTTTGTGAGAATGTACTCCCTCATAGCTTCTATTTTTTAAAAAAAATATATATTTTATTAATTTTACAGAGAGGAAGGGAGAGAGATAGAGAGCTAGAAATGTCGATGAGCGAGAAACATCGACCAGCTGCCTCTTGTACACCTTCTACCAGGGATGTGCCTGCAACCAATGTACATGCCCTGGACTGGAATCGAACCTGGGATCTTTCAGTCTGCAGACCGATGCTCTATCACTGAGCCAAGCCAGTTTTGGGTCTATTTTAAATATATATATATATATATATATATATATATATATATATATATATAATTTCAGAGAGAAGGGAGAAGGAAAGATAGATGGAAACATCAGTGATACATGAGAATCATTGATTGGCTGTCTCCTGCACACCCCCTACCGGGATGTGCCTGCAACCAAGGTACTTGTTCTTGACCGGAATCGAACCTGGGACCTTTCAGTCTGCAGACCGACGCTCTATCCACTGAGCCAAACCGGTTTTGGCCCAAAGTCTTAATAAAAGGGATAGCAAGGTCAGAGAGGTGTGTAGTCCTCCCAGTCGAGAAGGGCTCCTGCCTGGCCCCAATATCGCCAAATTAATATATTTTCTCGTCTCTTCCATTTGTGTGCAGCCTCCTCCATAATCTGAACCCTGGACCTGAACCCTGAACCATGTGGGATGTGAAAGGGGTTCCCACAATTCTTCATATTGATTGATTGATTTTACAGAGAGATGGAGTGAGGGAGAGGAACCTCATTTTGTTGTCTCAGTTATTTATGCACTCATTGGTTGATTCTTGTCTGTGCCCTTACTGAGGATTGAACCGAGACCTTGACATACCGGGAGGTCACTACAACCAACTGAGCTACCCAGCCAGGGCTTAGCTGAGTTTTAGAGACAGAGGAAGAAGAGGGGAAGGGAAGGGAAAGTGAGAAAAATCTATGTGAGAGCAAAACATTGATTGGCTGGATCCTGCATGCCCCCTAGCTGGGAAGGAGCCTGCAACCCGGGTATGAGACTTGCCCAGAAATTGAACTGGGAACCTTTTGGTGCTTGGGAAGATAAACTACCCCCTGAGCCACACCCACCAGGGCCAGCCCTGCACTTTCCACGGGAGGGGATGTGAGTCCTTCTCCTCACAGCCTTGGTTTCCATGGAAAGGGATGGGGAACAGGAGCCTCAGGAGACAGTGAGGAGAGAAGACTAGAATGCTGAGCACTTAGGAGGCACTGATGGGGGCGGGGGAAGGCTGGACAGTTCTTTAGGATGAATCAATCAGAGAATAAGGCTGGGGAGGCAGTGGGTGGGTGGTACCTGACCAACCCTGTGGGTTTCTGGGGATGTTCTGGAGCAAGGAAGGCTGTGTGTAGACATCAAAGGGTCCCAGATGCTTGGGACGGACACAGTGATCCTCCAGGAAGTACAGAGTAAGTTTGTTCTCCCAAAAAGAGATGCTTATTTTGTGGAACCCAAAGACACCAGAAAAAGTTCCTTTCCAGAAACCATGACAGCAAAGGACAGATGCCCAATCCTACTTCATGACCTGCTGGCTTGGAGGGGGTGGGGGGGAATGCTTTGGGCCAACTTTGATGCTTCCCCACCTCGAAGGCTGCCCATGACCCACCCCCTGCCACCTGGCCCCGGCCTCCCCCATCCGTCCCCTCCCCACAGCAGTGTTGGCCCTCAGGCCTGGCCAGCTCAGGGGACCCAGAGGCAAACAGGCGAGTCCAGGTGGTGGCCTAAGAGACAAGAAGGCCAAGTCAGGGCGGGATTGAGGCGACAGAACTTGTCCCAATCCCACCATGAGCCTCACCCCACTCCTGCCTGGACCTTTCCCTCTGACACCCACAACAGGTAGGTCTGGGTGCCTGTCACTCCTTGAGTCAATTGTCAGACAGAGATGTGATGAATGCTATGAAGATTTATTAGGATGGTGCAGGCCTATTGCAAGAGAGTGCCTCTAGGACCAGGTTGTTATCTTTCCAAGATGAGAGGAGACTCAGAGAAGGAGCAGGGACTGCATTCTGAGGTTCATCCCCATGGCCCTGGGCGAACATCGCTCAGCCAGGTTAGAATGGCTTTGCCTGATCAG